TTTGCATAGCCTAATATCATAGCTATATATTTCTTTGTTTGAATCTAAATTTATAAAAGATTTATCAAATATTTCTTGTCTATGAATATTATTTAATGTTTGAAATATGCTGATTTGAAATTCAGTTTCAACTTGAATTAGTATAATTGATTTTTCTTGAACTTCTTTTCTTAACAAAAGTCCTTCTTTTGAATACTATCTAGAAGGCACAAGTTTAATATTAAACTATGCTTTTTTTAATTGAAGTATCATAGCAAAAAAATGTCTACAAACAAATCTCATGTAAACTAAATAAAGATAAGTACAGTAATGTGTACTATCATTGAATATGACTACATACTGAGATTTATTTGTAATAGTTTGAAGATACTTAACCTCTCATATTTCACTCAAAACACTCTTTGAACAATCCTCCAAAGCTATGTTAATTAAAATTTGAGGTTCTTTATAATCATCCTCGAGAAACCCTTCATTATACTGATCTGAATTCTGCATTGTTATACTAATATCCTTAAGTTTATTTATCCGAACTCTATACAACAGGCTTTCTATCATTTGCTTCCATTGCAGTATCAGCAAATTTGGTATAAGATATTTTTTTAATATTTTATTTATTAAATTAAAAATAGTATTAGAAATCTGGGAGATTTTAGTAGTAGGGTTTATATTCTGAAATTCTTGCTATTATGAATATTTAGCTTTATCTTTTAGTCTTAATTCAACTCTGAACTAGAGTTAGCATAATAAATTTTCTGAATTTGCTTCTAATTTTATAACTCTATTCAAACTCTCTACGCGTTGGGTTGAATATATATTAGCTGAAAAGCTACATTTGGTAAATACATAAGCTCAGCATATTTTGGTTGGATATAATATACATTCAAAATATTCTTGAACTTCTGGGTATTTATTAATTAAATTTGTCTAACAGCATTCAAAAGCTGTACTGGTAAATGAATTGCATATAACATAGAAATCATTAATGAAAGTATCTTATTTACTTTAAAGTTTTGGTTTAACTTTCTTTATTAAATTTTGTTGAATATGAAAAGCACAATATCTTACAATTGTCCTAGAATACTGGTTGCTTATTACAACTTGCATTGCTGGGTTTGTATCAGTAAAAAGTATTTTTGGTTGAAGATTCCCTGTTGCATGCTTAGTTGGTTCTAAAACTATTCATAAGTTAACACAGTTTTATCACAAACTACTGCTATTACTACGATTTGACTTTTATGATCTGAATCAATTATTACAAAAATATTTAAGAGTATTAAATATTTGTTAATTTTACAGGTATTATTATTTATAACAACATCATAGTATCAAATCCACATTTGCTTCTGCTCAGGTGACATTCAAAAAATTTTAGATAGTCTATTATTAATACCCTCAAATTCAACTTTGAAATAATATTCAGGATCTTTCAAATATAATTTAATTAAATGTTCTAAAAGTATCACAGCATCATTTTTAACTTGAAAACTAGCTTTAAATTTATATATCATATTATAAAGATCTTAGTAGTAAATGTCCTGATCTGAATACTTTTTTCTTAATATCTTTTTTAAAGTAATAGCCTCTAATTGATACTCTTATACATAAAATTTGATTTCATTCATTATATCATCTAGTATCCTACATAATGCTGGTAAGAATTCTTGAAGAGAATTCTGGTTTTGTAATAAATAGTTATATTTATTAACAAATTTGTTAACAAATATAAGGTTCTCAGATTTATAATATGAAGTATTTACTGTAAACCTACAATCAATACAGACTGATTCTTAGTCTCTATTTTGTGTAGAATTCTACATTTTTTTGATACATATTTTTTATCATGATAGCACTTATATATCTTCCTTACCCAATTACTCTTGCTCTTATTACTCTTACTGTTCTTATTTCAAAGCCTATTCAGATAGCATATTACTTTAAATATTGTTCAGGTACTTCAAATGATACAAATATTTGCTCACTATAAATTTCTCTCAATATGCTATCTTTTAGCTCATCCTCTCTACAACTATCTTCTAGCTCATAATATCTACAACTATCTTCATATAAATCATCATATGATTCTTCATAAATACTTTGGTATAGTAATAAACATTTGAGTTAATTACTAGTTTCAGATTGGTCACTAGTTTTGAGTTGGTCACTAGTTTCAGGTTGGTCACTAGTCGAGTTGGTCACTAGTTTCAAGTTAGTCATTATTTTTAAGTTGGTCATTATTTTTGGATTGGTTACTAATTTCGAGTTAGTCTTGCAAACATATTGTTCTAAATTTTTTTTTTTTATTTTTGGTTAAAATTTTAATAATATATATATATATGCTATATAGCATTCAATAATACCTTAGTATTAGATTAGGTCTTTGGTATTGAGTTAGGCTTTAGCTTCAAGTTGGGCTTTAGTTTTTGTGTTGGTCTTTCAAGCGTATTTTTTAAATCATAGTTAGATTTTTTTTTTTGGTTAAAATTTTAATGATATATATATACTACATAGCATTCAATAATACCTTAGTATTGGGTTGGGTCTTTAGTATTGAGTTAGGCTTTAGCTTCGAGTTGAGGTTGAGCTTTAGTTTGTGTTAGTCTTTTAAATGTATTTTTTAAATCACAGTTAGATTTTTTTTTTGATTAAAATTTCAAAGATATATATATGCTGCATAGCATTCAATAATACCTTAGTATTGAGTTAGGCTTTAGTATTGAGT